TTGGGCGGTCCAGTACCTTTGGCAGTTCCTGCAGGAATGCCGCGGCTGGTCGACGTTGTAGTTGTTGTAATAGCAGAATTTGGTGTCGGGGCTTCCGCACCGAGGACAAGGAACGATCTTCTTGGGCTTCTTCGCCGCCTTCTCCTTCCAACTCCCTGCTTCACTTCGTCGTTCGTCGGGCATCGAGTTCCTCGTCGATTCATGCTCGTTAGTTTCCTGTGAGTCGGGGATACACAAGATCAGACAGACCGCTATGTTTCTCTCAGTCTCAGAACATCAGGAAAAGGAAGAACACAAGTGTATTCATTCATGTCTCTTCCTTCTTCAAGCTTCTCTCGAGCCCACAGCTTTGTGTGCCCATGCGAAACATGGATAGAGAGAGACTGAGAGAGAGAGAGAGAGAGACTGGCACAAAGCCATCAGCTACTGAATGAAGTGTGGTATCCTCCAACCTTCATCAACTGCTTTCATACTACGCCAATGGCATGGGATGTGTGACTGCACCAAACTCCATTGGATTTTAGTGCCATGCAACAGATCCATTGGACTATGTGGCGTACAACTAAGTGGAAATTCTTCTCTCTCTCTCTCTCTCTCTCTCTCCCTCTCTATGATGATTTCTTCTGCTGTGTTCTTTTCTGCCTTGTCAAACTCATCTGCCTCTTCCCATCCAGGTTCAGAGAATTCGACAATCTGTAGCAACAATCCATAGTACTCGAGCTTCATTCTCCATGAGCCGTGCTCCTGCACTATTCCCTAAATTGAACCCTTGTTTCAGCCGACATTTACCTAAACAACATGTCTGAATCGCCTCCTCAGTTGCCACCCTTCTCACCGGGTCAAGCCAGTCTTGGGTTTCCTCCTCTCATTTGCTACAGGGCGGAGCTTATCCGGTTCAAAGAGAGACACAGCAGACAAGCAAGAGGAAGACTGACCGAGCTCATGGTTTCTGCAAGTTGGAGATGGAAAACCAGACGACAGTGCAAGTTGGTACGTATTGTCACGACACATAATTCGCACGTCTCACCCTCCTCTCTAACCTCAGGTTGACACCGCCGTTGAAGAAGCACATGATTGGAGATCGATGACGGTGATGCCAACTTGTCATGAATTTTTATGTAATATTTCGTTTAATCTCAGACAGTATGTCTGTGGTGTGGAGTTACCACTGCCATATAGCTTAGATAATAATCTCAAAGGGATATAAATTATAACATCCTTTTTTTTTTCATTCATATTCTACATGATTATAATAAATTATTATATTTTTTTATTTAATTATATTATCAAGTAATAATAAATAAAATATTGACTAATTATTATATCTATACACTTTCACATTGTACGTCATAATACATTTATGCACTCGCACACCATATATAATAATCTATATACATGAAGCAATACATTTTTATTATAATTTATATATTTTTTATAATTATATAATATATACATTAACATTGAGCTTATACCTAGCTCATAATCATGTTATCATTCAAATCATGTCTTCAATCTCATTTATGTAATGCTTCTTTCATCTTTATTTAATTATTTATTATTTCATCCATGCATAAATAACTTATTATTATAATACAATTTTTTTTTTTTATAAATGTTATTGAGTGAACCTTTACGTCGTGACTGAGGAGTCAGTATGACTTGGTCCGATCCCGGATGTGCAAGGTTGCCCACGCGAAGACTAGAGCAGCGGAAGTGCGCGACGGGTCTGAGTTAAGCTACGGGTTTTGTTGCCTACTTCTTCATCGCCAGCCTCTGCACACAGGTCGAGGTCAGGAGGGAGAATTTCTGACTCGACCTCTCCGAAGCTTAAGTTAGCTTTCGGTGAAATGAGAAAGAGTTGAGTATTTGAAGTCCCTTTAGCGCTGACTAAGTGATGGGCTTTTATACCTGCACACGAGGATTGATCGTACCCCATATGTTAATGATCGTCGACCCCTTAAGCAATCGACCCATGCCTCTATGCTCGACGACGTCGTTCCGATTGACGTGTATGGATCATCCTCGAGCAACAGCGTCCCGATCATTCCGGGGCGGCTTTGTACTCGACGGTGCCATTCCAATCAACGTGTGCAGATCGTCCCCGAGCGACGCCGTCCCGATCATTCCAGGGCGGCTCTATACTCGACGATGTTTTCGGGGTAGTTTCGTACCTAACGGCATCACTTATATGGTCCTGCATAGGCTAGGGGGGACGATCACGTTGTCTGATCTGTTGACGTGGTTTATCATATCGGCTTGTAAATTTCACAGCGGTGCTGTTGTGGCTATGCTATGCTGTCAAAGGACATGCTTCCAAATTGTGTCCTATCGAATGTGTATATGTTTATTGTCATATCCTAAGCTCATATTAAAATCTATTAGTACACTTATACGCTATTACGTTCGATTGATTAACTACTAACTAATAACTTGATCTATCAACCACTAACTAATAACTGATCGTTAAAAATAACATATCAGTCAACCACAAACCGGAAACCTTATCTCAAACATCAAATGTCATGGTTAATTCACCCTCATCCTCCCAGTTGCTTTCAGCCATAGTGTTATTGATGTGATGCGAGTGAGTTCTGTGGCAAAAAAAATGCTTCACTCAACTCCATAGTGTTTAGAAGTCAATTCTTGGTCACTCGATAACTAAGAACGATACATCCCATCGCACCCTCCACATCTTCTTCTTCTTCTTCAAACCTAATGTGAATTAGGAGATGAATCACATCCAGATATGTTGGCCATCTGACTTCACCCATTGCCATCCATGCTTGTGGTTTGCCGGTACCGATTCTTAGTGTCAAGATGGACATATTTATGGTCAACCCGACTCCATCCACCTAGTCGTCCACTTGACCTTTCGTATCCTCATCTATCACTAATCTCGTTCATGAACTTCTCACCACATCCAGTACTAGATCCGTTCTTACTATATTTGTAGTTATCCTACCACTTCTACCGAGGGTGTCCGGAGGCAGCAAGCCCATACAACTTTCCATGTCATGATGTACCTTCGAGTATATCCATCGACCCTTTACCATATCCAGTCTTATCTAATAAGAGATCGGCTTCGAGATAACTGGCATATTAATGTGTCTAAATCAAGTGGTCCGAGATGTCATCTACATGTTAACAACAATGCATGCATCTATCTCTCACGATTCAACTCTCATGTGGAACTAAACAGAGGTTGGAATGTGATGTCGTTATATTTAGATTCTGATTTCGACTTTTTTCTCCTTCTTCAGTGTTTCTGCTTTTGATTCTTCATGAAGTTTTAGGTAGGGACATCATTTTGGTCATGTCTTCATAATCAAAATATAAGACCCATTGTGCTTCTGAACAAAGAGGCTGCAGTCTTAGACTTGTAGACTGGATTTCTAGTTCCTCGAAACAAAGAAAACTTGCCTTTGAATATTGAACGAGGACAGGAAATATTTGAGAGCAGACATCCTATTTATGTATGTATGTGTGTGTGTTTTTTTGTATGTCATGAAACAAAAGCAAAAGGGAGATCAGAACATGCAGAGCTTAGGAAGATATGAAGACACTACAAAGCTTCAAAAGAATTGCTGCTCGAAGAACTGTGATGGTGGAAACAACTCTGTCTCTCTTCCTCTCTTCCTGTCGCCACCATTAACAGGCAGCAATCCTGATATGTCCACACCGAACAGCTTCACAACCCGAAGCGGGTTAACAGTAGGCGGCGGGGTCATCGTGCGAAAGCTCGCGATCACGTCCGTCCTCCAGTCGATGAACAGCTGCTTCTCCGGCCCGGTGGATCGCCAGAAGGTGACCACGTCCCCGGCCTTGAGGTTCTTCTCCCTGACAAACCGGCTCCAGCCTTTTGTCAGCACGAAGCTCTGGCTACTGCTCCAGTACGAGTACCTAAACCTCCACACCCTGCCGCCGGCGTCCTCAAAGTTGAGCAGCACACCCTTCGATGCCACGCTGCTGCCGCTCTCCAACGGGAAATACTTCTCGGCGTGCTGCTTCGGTATCACTAGCCTATTCAGCTTCCCGACGTCGCTCGGGGTGACCACCTTGTCGAACAACATCAGGCGAGCCGAGCGTAGGTAGCTCGGCGTCGTCCTCCTGCTAACGACCCGGCCGCCCCCCTGGGCTCGCTTGCTCTGCTGGAGCTCGTCGTGGTACGTGTGCTTGCGCAGCATGTCCACGATCTCCGCCTTGGAGTGCGCCACGAGGAAGGAGAGCTCGTAGGCCTCGTCGTCGTCGGACTCGGAGAGAGGCTTGAAGTTGGTGATCGCGTCGCGGCCGCGGAACCGCTGCGCTGCCACGTCGTAGGCGCGCGAGGCCTCGGCTTCGTCGCCGAAGGTGCCGAGCCACACCCGACGGTGCTTTTCGTAGATCTGGGCGCCCCACCGGCCGTTGGGCTGGGGGACGACGCCTTTGTACTGAGACGACGACAGCTTCCTGGACACGGCCTCCATCCCGCTCTCCGGGGTCGGGTCGAGCACCGCGCTGACGCCGCTGCCCATGCGCTGCAGGGCCTCGCCCGCATGCGGCGGCGTCTGTTGGCACCTCGCCGAGTGACTCGGTGCCTCATCGACGCAGCTACCTTCCATGGCCGAGTAAGTTAACAGGAGAGACGAGCGCAGAAGATTGTCGGCGAGCTTTGGAAGGAGAGGATGGTTCGTATTCTTCACAAGAGGGCTCAAAGGGCTTATATAGACTTACAGGTGAACTTGTTGCGGTTTACGGCGGACACTTGTTGGCAAGTCTATGGGGACGAAGATTCAAGGGAGGTGCAGGAGAGGTTGGATAGGTGTGGGTGATGTGAGAGTGGGTCCCTCGAAGAGGCAAGTTGGATTCAGTGGGGCTGACACCATGGTTGGACCACGCGGCCAGATGCATCCCCTGAGGCCGGGTTGCTGCTGCTGATTGGGCTGATCATGATGCTTCTTCTTCTCTCTCTCTCTCTCTCTCTCTCTCTCTCTCTGTGGAGATGTATGCGGAAATGTATGGTACCGAAGGCAGAGGCGAGGTTTCTGACCCATGGTGCCTGCCGTTTGACAACTACTCGATGCATGCCAGTCTCCACATAATTTGGCTGCTTGCACCGCATATATATCATCATCATCATCATCATCAACGACAACAACAAAAACAAAATATTCTTTCGCCTATTAATTGTGATTGTGATCCCAAATATATTTAACGACTTGAGACTTCCCCTATCTCATGATGATGTGGCCTTCAATTTTTCATATTGCACATGGTCAGATTTTTTTTTATTTTTTATCGCTTAAGGATTCCATTTCCATCTTATCGAAAAAAGAATAACAGATATGCTTTATAAATAAAATGCATGTGGAGTGACAGATCATGACTGGTCGAATTAAGTCATCTCGAAATCAAGATCGTAACATTTAGTTCAGCTATCAAAATAAAAGGAATAAGACAATTGCATGTATCAGAAGCAACTAAAGAACATGATGATAGTACGAGTGGTACCTAAATAATGGAACATCTTGGGAATAACTGAAGAGAATTTCAAATTGGCCTTGTGATACTCGCCACCATGATCTGCCGACACACACTGATGTGGATGAATTCCAGAATTGGATATAGACTTTTATCTGTTATTATTTTTAATTATTAGTTTCTACCTCCAAAAAAAAACGTAAGCAGCTAAGTATGATTTATCTGAATTTGATGCGGAAAAGGAAAGAAAATAAATCACCTCCACACATAAAAATATTTCTTGGTGAGTTGGTATGTGATCCAACGGTTCAGTGCATCGTTCCACAGTGCTACCCTTCAGCCTCAAGTTGGAAGGTCTTCAGGAACATGAATCAGGAGACTACAAGGAGCAGTGGCCTGGATATACCTGAAAGATGCAGACATCCAAGTGACTGCGCTTCCTTCTCAGCCACTGAGACTTGTAACATCCGGTCTTATCCACATTATGATAAGGAGAGGAGGAGATATTTGTCTGCAGGAAGTACATAAGTTGCAACTTGCAAGAAATGGAAGAGAACAAAAAGGAGTGGATGCTCAATAAAAAGCTAAATCCATCACAGAGCTGGCTAGCCTAGTGCAATGTATTTGGGTAGCCTATCAACAACCCATTAACACTATATATATTTAGCCTTGGCACAAGAAAGCATCCATTTATCAGATTAAGTATGTATATATGTATGTATGTATATTGACACAAGAAATTTATCAGATGTCCTTGTCCAGTAAAAAATGCAAAAGAGATGTTCATGGGCAACATATCATAAATCAGTGACATTTCTTTGCTTCTAATCCCCTTTTCTTTTGCTCTTAAATAACACCACCACAGAGAGGATGCCAATTCTTAGCAAATGTGGGGGATCGTTTTGTCATGTCATTTTGATTAATAAATGTGTTGTGAAAGTCAACTACTCCGTTTCGGTTTCTTCAAACCAGAAACCAAAAACAAATGAAGAACGCAAACAAGATTAAATGTATGTTATCTTCGTTTCAATCAGCTTGCGCTTCTGCAACGGAGTTCAAGTAATCAATTCAGTCAACCCAAAAAGGATCCAAATTCTGACTATCCTAAGTTTTGCCAAGTCATCCAATGGCCTCTCTTGAGTATACCCATAAAATGTTTCCTCTCTACCCCTCTCCCTCTTACCGTTCATTTTCGAGTTTTTCCTCCTCAAGTATTTGTACCTTAGGATGCTCCACTTTCGATCTTTGAACTCACTCTTTGGGTTTCATTTTAGATAAATATATAAACCCAAAGGTCGGTTTGCACCTTAGATAAATAAACAAACCCGAACGTTCCGGTTCAGTTCAGAAACCAGATTCTACCTGAGCAGACAACAGCAAATACACACCCAACCAGGATGTATCACTGTGCCTTAATCATACATAATGCAGAAAAAAATATAGTGAAAACATGCAATTACAAAGAAAAAAGAGGAGGATCCTGGTAATAGTGATTAATGATATATCATGCAAATTTTTGAAGGCAGACATAAAGAATCTGCAAGTAATTTCATTAAATTAAATAAGTGCACAGAGCATCATCATATTGGTGCAATTAGCTAACTAAAAGCACTCTAGAATCTAGTTGCTTTACATCCAAACATGTGAGCACCTAAGCCCGTTTCATTTTCCCAATCTTTCAAAACGCACTTCAAACCAATACAACTCTTCAATGTTTTGCCTAACATTTACTCTCATGTTCGACCTATATGCACTTCATCATTGTGGCACATGTTGCTGTGACCAACAAGAAGGGCTATTTTTCAATGCACATATCCAGAAGATTACTCCAACAAGCTTTTCTGGCCAGATGGAGTTCTATTCATAGCACTATGACAGATTATGTTACTAGCCAGAGAAACATCACCCTCTACCATTTGCATAATGCTTCCTCTTTGTCATGCAAGTAATAATCTATGTAATCAAGCTTCAAGAAACCCTAATCCATACAACTAAAAAGGAGACAATTATGACCAAGTATACATAGATCCAATTGTTGGATCACAGAGGTGAAATGCCACAAAATGTCTTAAATGCAGCAATAAAAGGATCTTGGATGCATTACCAGATTAAGAGCACCGGCATAATTACTCTCATCGGCTCCAGCGAATGCAGAATGAACAAGCATGTCCATTTATGACACGAATGACGGTCCTCAAGAAGAATCTCGACTGCATTTGGAAGCCGATGCCCCTACACTTCTACCCCAATCCATATTCCTGCTCTTTGAAATGTAAAACAGAATTGTTTGGGCGAATCCCCCCATGGCACGGTCAACAGATCTCCGTGCCCAAGAAACGATGAGATCGAGAAGGGTACCAGTAACACCCGCTCTGTCGGAGATCAGCCAAGAAAGCGTTAGGGTTTGGACCTGGGAAATGACGAAGCCGTCGGGCCACTGCCGGAAGCGCGCGAGGCGCCACCTGAGGAGGGCGGCGGCGGCGGCGGCGGCGAGAGGGCGAGGAGGAGAGAGAGTTGGGCGTAGGCGAGAAGGGAAGGGGATTGCCTCGCATCACGATCTTATGCCGAACACCTCTCCAGTCCCCAACGCCTCTCTTCATAGACTTGCTGTCTATCGTACGATTCGGGTCACACCGAGCCAGGAGCGGGAATGTCTTCCAATAGGATTCGGATCACTACTTGCTATATATCCTTCTAATTGGATTCGGATCTTTCCGTTACACGGACCCGAATCTGTATGGCCGATAGTAATCGGACTCGGAGTCTCGCATTTATAGACTCGAATCACAACTCGTGTCCCGAGTTCTGGGCCAATGGGTTACGAACCGCTTCCTAACGGAGTCAGCCATTAGCCCAATGGGCCGAACCACATGAATATATATATATATATATATATATACACGTGGGGGACGGAGAGGAAGGAGTTCTTTTCACAGGCTGAATGATTGGCACGTGGGGGACGGAGAGGGGAAGGAGTTTGTTCTCACAGGCGGAATGATTGGCGTCGAGTGCAGTCGATCAATCAACCTTGCGCAATGATTCCTTTGAGCTGTTTGCAAGTGAACAAAAGTGATGCAACCTCACAGAAACCAAATAATTCCTCAATCAACAGAAGGCCATGCATGTCCAAGCTGGTGAGTTTGGTCTCATGGTGGTACGGCTGGAAGCGGGGGAGAGACTGCCTCCTCCGTGACTGGATGATCACCTGTTTCGGTCGCTCCCATTCGGACTCACAGTTCTAGGCTGCAGGCAGTCGTAACCACGTGCAATGAGAACAAAAGATGGTGATGAAATCAAACTCGATGTGGTGGAGGATGCTCTCCCAGCTTGCAGCATCTGCAAATGCGTTGAGGTGAACGTCTTCGAGCCATCAACATTACGTGGTGATCACGGCCATGGTGTGGTGACGTCTCGGTCCGCACGCACAGAGCTCAGCGGAGACACATTGGAACACAAGCTAGCTATGAAGTCTTTAATTCCACCACACTCAATGAAAGTGTCATATCGATTCAAGCTTTTGGGGGAAAGAGCAGAGCTGACGCTAAAGAAGCTTAGCATGAGAGGAGATGATGGGAGGTCGAGGGGGGCAAAAGGCATTAGGTTCTCCTTCTTCTTCATCTTCTTCATGTCCATGGCCATCGTACGAGTAGCAGGTCAACGTCCATGTGTCCCAGCACTTTTCCTTTACCCCAGGCATACCATACATGGAAATCGCTTCCGGTTCACGCAATCCTCCCGTGTACTCTCGCCGCAATAGCCATTCATGTGCGAATCTCAAAGCATCCAGTGGGATTTCATTGGTTAAACAAGTGTGCGTCCGCAGACGGAACAGATGCTGATGGAGTTGCATCCAACTAAGAAACCAGCATCGATTGACGTCAAAACCACATGCTTAGTATTTCATTACACTAGAAGACAACAAGACCTGCGGCCGGATTCCAAAAGTTCCTCTCTGATTCCAACACCAAACTAGGAACGATATCAGAGCAGTCTAATCGTAATGATATCAAATTGGATAGTATCAGATTCAATCACCGGCTGGAAAATGGTGTGGTTAGAAAAAGAAAAGACAGCAGAAGACAAACCACGACACTGGAGAAACCAAACAGGGAGCCTACTGGGCTTGTAGTATCGATATCTTATAGCTTATGTGTAATCACTAGTCGTCGGCGGCTTGGATGACAGCGGGAAGCATCCGTTGTGAGACTCTGAGCATTTGCGTGATCACCTCTCAAGTGGAGGTGACAGCGCACCACGGCTCCCTAATGAACAATGGCCTGCGCAGCTGGCTGCACCTTCTCATGATGTGGAGCAACTCCCCGCGGTTCCGCCGCTTGGAAGTGAACAGAAGCTTGTTGTCGAGCGGTGGGTGGTGGCCGCCGAGCGGCGCCCACAGCCCGATGTAGCCGTAGTCGTTGTAACCTTCTGTGGTGACGCTGAGCGTGGACGCCGCCGCCGCCGCAGTGGTGGTCGTAGGCGATGCCCGCCTGGGTACCACGGTTGATGGAACAGGTTGCTCGCATTTGGTCATGCTGGTTAGGGGAGCGCCGCCCACGAACTTGTTGATGACGAGAGAGGACCGGTGTACCTTCATGGCGCCGTTCTGTTGCTGGGGCTGCGTGCTTACCTTCACCTCGACGATCGTTCCCCTGTCCACCACTTCCACTTCCTCTTCTTCTTCCTCTTCCTCGTATCGGTTAGTTTCCTCTAATTCTTCTTCTTCCTCCTCCTCCTCCTCCTCCAATTGTGTTATTTCCGTCGTGTCGTTCCCTACAGTATCTTCGTTATCTTGCTCGACGTCTTCTGGCATTTGTGGTTGTGTAATTTCAGTGGCATCGGATGCGTGACCAGGTTTGTCTCCGGAGGTGGTGTCGGTCAAGGACAGGACGAGTCGGCCGTCCACGCGCTGAGCGTGAAAGTAGTTCTTTGAAGGGACGGCGACGGCTTCCATGACGAGGCGCCCGTCTAGGCGGTGAGGCCTCATGTGGAGGCAGGGCACGTTGCGCTGGGAGATCGACGGCAGCGGTGGGGGGAACGACCTCGGTGGCGACCGCCGGCCAACTGAACAATGGGAACTCACCGACGCTAGCTCCCTGGCGCCTCCTCCTGCTGCTTGCTTCTCGAAGGGCACATATTTCTTCTCTTCCTCTGTCTCTTCTCCAGCGAGCTTAGATGGATGGTGGAAGTCGAGGTCGTCCATGAAGGAGGAGAAGCCATCAGAGCCGGTCTCGGATCCGAGGCGTTCCGTGCAGATCTCGAGGCTCTTCTGGCTCAACAGGCTCGAAGACCGCCTAGCGAGAGGATGAACGTAAGGAGCCGCCGGCTGGTCAGCGGCGGCGGCGGCCGCCTCCTGCGATTGGATCGCGCTCCATATGTCGAATTGTCCGGGCCGCTCCTGGGCGTGGCTCTCCTCGACCGCCAGAGGAGGATCGTCCTGCCGTCTATATCGATCCACCGGCGCCGCCCGGCTGCACTTGTCCGAGTCGAAGACAGCTGCGGACGAGCTTTGCATCACGGCAACCGACATCATCTATACCGCAGCGTTTGGACGCAGGTTTACTTTAATACGGGCTTCACTGAGAAAAGGCAAAACCGATAAGTAAGCATCCAAAGGATATACGAGACAGCCCCACGAACATTTAGTATGCATGCTGTAATTACCTCAAACAAGAGTACAACAAAGGTTTATTTTTCTTCGGAAGGCAGAGATCACAAAACAAAGGGAGAGATGGAATGGTGGCGTTTGTGCTTCCAGGGAGTGGCAATAAGGCCGGCTGATAAGAAGCGAAGGGGGGGAGGGATGGTATTTGTAGGCTCGAGGAGGAAGGCTTTTCCCTCGGGACCTTTCAGCTTCTTCAGGGCCCTCACCACCACTCCCTTTGCCATCACACCTTCCTGCTTTCCAGCTTTATATTGTCGATTTCCCCACCCTCGTTCCCCTCTGAATCACTCCCTCTGCTTTCTGGTTTGTCATTCCCCCCACCTAAAATATTCCCCTATTTTACAAGAAATAGTTTTTTAAGTAATCCAAGTGTTTAATCCCCCATATTTGAGAGTAGCTTTTCATAAGGCATTTAGTTGTAATCACCCGTGTCCAGTCGTCTACTATCCATAATCTCTCCGTCCTCTCCTCCTCAAATAATTGCCTTGTTGTATTAGTTGTTATTTATCATTATAGCTTCTTCTTTCTAATTCTGTCATCCATCACCACTTGTTTGTCCCAATCTCGCCCAATCGCTTTGCTGTAGTCACGCTGTAAGTTTACTTAAGACACTTTAACCAAATAGATGCCACTCTTTTGAAGAAACCTGACACATTTGGGATCAAAGCATGCATGCATTCATGTTGGAATGTCACATTTTTCTATAGTTAGATCCTTCGCAGCTTGCTTAAAATATTACCAACGAACTGCATCGAGCCACGTCGGCAGGGAGACTTGATCCCTTATGACGACACTCTGGAATCCCACTGTGGGATCGTCCTTTGGTGCTTGGTTATCACTACCGAGGACGATTCGTTTACGGATAAGAGAGCGATGATATTGGTGATGGGACAAAGGAAACTGATATGCATCCTTCCGGTGGTGGTACGTGGTCAAGCTTTGGCCTGTGACTTGTCAAAGGCGTCTCCGGAGCTACGACCTTTCTCCTCCTCTTTTCCTCCACATTCGAACAAGGGTGGGACATGGGAACCATGCACGATAACACGAAGAGACCAAGGAATAAAAAGAAATCGAGAAGAAAGTATGGAATGACCCATCACTTTCAAAACTTGAGCAGCCCAAGAAACTTAGATTCCAAACTATCAAAGTGAAATCAAATAAGATGAGAACAAGTGACGATAAACCAATTTCGGATGGAATTACTCTGATATGTTTAATTTTAAGACAGAATGTAAATGGATTATCGCACCTAATCCCACCTCCTAAATCTTATTTGGCATCACTTCCGTAATTTACCAAAGAAATTAAATGATCGACCCAAAGAAGAAGAAAATTCCAGATGCAAAAAAATCTGCAAGTTCTGAAACGTGCGGAATTTATGCTCCCATCAGGATTAGCACGCGAGCCGAAAATGATACGGTGGACGCACGGCCACCGGTCGATCTCTAATTGAGAATGACGCAGTGCGGCAGAATCCTTGCTCGCTACCGGCGACATGTTAAAGATGGAAAGCCAAATTAAGGTCTCAAACCGTCTTTGGTCCAAAGCTAGCAAAGTAAATTTGCTAGCCCATTCTAACAATCGAAGACCACGGCATACACGAGGTGATGCGCCCGCCCAGTGGGTGTGTGGGCCCAATCCAAGGATGTGACCACGATTCTGTGAATCGCTGTGATGCAATACAGGAGGAGATGTGGCCAGTGGCTATGTGGGCCCAATCGAAGGATGTGACCACGGTTGTAGTGACTCGCTGTGGTGCCTGAGACTCCTGAAATCTGGCCAGAGGTCGATGATAAGAAAGTGTGGTCGATGAGGACCATATGATGTCGCCTATGGCATCCAACCGAGGAAATGGATAATGCATGTGCTCTGGGAGAAAGAAGAGGGTACGCATCAAACAAGTGTAACGTGCACTCGGCCGCATGATTAATTGTGCATGCGTCCCCTACCCTTCTCCAAAAGACTCCTCTAAAATTTGTGCAATCTAGCACAGAATCCATCACCACAGACAAGGACTCCAGATCGAAGGGAAGATCTCCTGCTCCCCTTTTAACTGGGACCATTGGTGCTAAGAGAGAAAAAGAGGCGGCTTTCTTTTGGAAATCGATGACAAAAGAAAAAGGGAGAGCTAACCTTTGGGGTAATGGTTGGGCAGTGGCTGATGCAGGCATGTTGCATCGATGTCGTCGAGCACCGGTGTCAGAGATGAAGGTGGTACGCAGCATCGAGAGAGAAGTCCTCTTTGCATGAGCCGGAGCTGAGGATCTTTGGAGTACTTTACACCTGTGTGTCGGCGATGTAGCATTAGTGCAAGTCGGATGACGATCTCCGAGTGTATCAGGCATTCTTTAGTGCTTTATTCTCACCTGTGTGTTGCAATGTAAAGCAAAAAAAAAAAAGAAACAGCCAGAGGCATAATTTGGAGATTGCAATCTGAAAAGACCATATAGGAAGAAGTGGTCCTTCGATTGTTTTGGTGCTTCATAAGCTTCACCTAGAAGCCTATCCTTCGGTGGTACTAAAGCTTGCAGTAACCAAATCTTCTCATATCGGGACCGCACCCCTAAAAATGGCCCAGACAAGCATATGCAGCGGCGAGTCCGTACATCTATCACACTGCGGAGACTAACGAGGGGGCGAATCCCATCTGCAGCATACCCAAAAGTCAACTAGTCGGGCACCACTTGCACGGGTACTCGAACCTATAAACTTGACCAAGAGAATAATTTGTACTAGGCCGAGGCTCTATTGAGACGTTGGTACACCGTGTAATTGGGCCGTAAAATAAAATACTCAGGCCTATTTGGTTCTTAAAGTAAACCCCCTATCTCGTAGGCGACTTGTTAAATGGACCAGTACCATATCTTTGGAATTCCTTAAATAATCATCAATTCTATGAAAATTACAAACAAGTTACCCATCTGTTAAATCACGTGTATATGGAATCTCATCCTAATTAATATTAAGATTTTTTAAATAAATCAGGTCTTCGTGCAAATGATACCTCGAGAATATAATATTTTCACTTCAGAAACACAATATTTTCACGTCAAAAACATCTTGATCGGACATTCTACACATGGGTTTGAACCATATACTAAAATATTAATGGTATTTTCCTCTAACATCTATTTATATGAAATAAAATCAGATATGAAGAATTATATTATCAAAAGTACAAGTTTATAAAGAAGTAAAAAAATTATATTACATCATGACGAACCTAAGACTATCACTCGTGTAACATTATATTAATCAATTCGAATATCTTAGCAAAGATAAAAAGAATAATGAAACGATGTCACAGATAACAACTACTTCACAAACAAGGTCTTAAATCCATGTTTATCAACATATTCCACACTATCATACTATCTCGCATGCAAGAAAATTTCAAGCTTACACCAATGACTTCAAGTTATTGATAGTTAATCCCTTGGTGAACATATTTTGCGTTAAGATGATTGTATAAACTATGATCTAATCGACTTATTCTGCTGCAGTCTTGGGTTAACATATCTAACACCATGATTCAACTTGACGATTCAAGTTGCCACATAAACAAGCATTTCTCATGTCCATCAACCATAAGCATCGATTCTTACCAAGATTCAAAAAAATTGAAGAGAAGCGTCGATCATGGAAATAAATTAAAGAATTTTCAAGGGATGGTTGGGTTAATGCTTCTTCACCTTTCATGTCCGATTGCAAGGAAAAAGTGAAGCACCGTTCAGGTGGTAAGTCCAGTGTAGCACACTTTCTTGGTCAGCTGCACCAGAAATCCATCCTACCAAACATCATTGGGAAATCCTTCAAGTCACTCTTGGTGACATCGCATTGGTATCGACTAATCAAAGCCCAGTTACAAGTCCAATTTAAGCGAGAACCAAACCTCGAGTTAGGAGGTCTGCGATACCTTCTCGGTCTCAACTCTTGCCCAAATCATCTTTTCCTAAAATAAGCACTTGTAGATCCAAGAATCTGTCAACAGAATAGGATCGTCACAAATCACGATAATCATAAGAATCGCCCATCTTACTCGGAAAACGATGACTTCTCACCCCTCAATCCAAGGTGCAACCCGTATCTCCTCTTTCAATCATCCAGCAGCATGAAACCAACGATTATTTCACCTCGGTACCTCAAAATTCAGATCAAGAACATCAAAACAAAAATAACCATAATAGCAATCAAATATTGGGGAGGAAGAACAGTACTGGTGCGTAAAGGCAGGCGAGATCAATGAAACGATCGACGGTCGTCTCGATCAGGAGAGACAACGCACGTTGGTGCGAAAGTGATGGATGAGGTGCTTATCCACAAGCATCGTCATCTCCCCCGCCTCCTCGTCTTCATACGATCGCCGTCCATGGATCTCTTATGAAAACCCTCTTTCTCGCGAGCGGAACAACACGCAATATATTTCCTCCTAATTCCAGGGTCGGTACTCAACATTCTGGAACCTTCTGATTCCCAAGCATACCAAAAAAAATAAAAAAAAAACATATTTCCTCATAATTTATGAACATTCTAATTTTCGACACAAAATTGAAATCAATTAAACTAATTATCACTTTTAAAAATATACGATGTCAATTTCCAATTCCCTAATAATTGCGATCGTGTGTTACAACTCCCGAGTTTGATTCTCTCCAACAATCCAATCATTTCAAAACGTCCTCACCAAATCAAAATGAATCACTGCCCACCTTAAACCAACGCAGCAATAAAACACATAGTACCAAAGTTTATGCGCAAATCGATGTACTCTAAGAAAAAGATAATTATGAAGGAAATCCCGATCGCAATCGCAATCCTCTCATCTTCCCATTAATAATACAACCCATTGTCCTCTCAATTATATGCCTAACATCTTTCTCGACGCGGACAACCTTTGGGAATACGCGGACAAATCTTGCTAATCATATCATTCATTAAAATGACTCTAATGCGCAACATTCAACCATTTACATTTCCTTTTATTTACATTGCGATTTTACATGTCTATCCTCGTTATATTTGAAAATAGCATATTTTCTTCAAATTATACATCCTTAATTATATATTATTATTTGCTTTAAAAAAATAATTTAATATTTAATACATCTTTATAAGAAAATCTTGGTTTTTTTTTCTACAAGACGAAATTCGAACATAGGATTTTATGATGAATTGTTAAAATATTTAAATGTTATATATAGAGATATATAACAAATATTAATTAAGGATATATATAGATTTATTACATTGCTCACTTCGAAAGGATATAAATGTAAATAAAATAATAAAAATAATAATTATTACAGAGAACATTTAACCATGGTATTTGACAGTGATTCCCTTTTATTTATTAGGAAATTTTACTTTTACATCTTTGTTATGTTTGAAAATAGCATATTTTTCTTATAAATTTTCCCATAACAAATATATTCCTTCAAATATTTTGTTCCTTTCTAAAAATCTCTTTTTTTATTATAAAAAAGGTTAACTGGTACTAACCATGATTATCTATTATTATATCGATTTTTATAATAATATAATATTTAACATGCTTTTAGTAGTCTTATCATCATAAGAAAACTCAAGTAAAATTAAAATTTATAAGAATTTTTTGGGTTTTATTGAAACATTCATTATATGTATATATATATATATCCACTTCCAGAGGATATAAATGTAAATAAAATCATATTTATCGGACATCCTGCCCAACGGAGATGACGGCGACGCGACCCACACGTCCCGAGGGGCAATCTCGAAATATTATGGGACGCCTTCCGTTATGGCTTTGGAAACGCGGATCGTTGCAGTAACAGTTTGGAATCATCGGACAAATCCCGTCCTTTGCCAATATATTCGAGGGCTTTCTAGTCATTTCCGGTTTAGCAGTATTACTCCCTCCCCCCTCTCCTCCCTGTTCTTCGAAGCCAAAGCGGAGGCACCGCAGCAAAGCAAAACACAAAAACACAGAAGGCAGGCCAAACGGCCTGCGTCTCCTCCTCTACCTTTTAGAGTCTCTCTTTGCTCTCTCTCTCTCTCTCATCTCGGTGGGATTTATTGTTCTTGATTTGCTTGAGTTATTGGATTCGAACCGTATCTCCCTTTCCCCGGTGGATCGTAGCTTGGAGGGGAGGAGTGGGGGTTGGGGGGGAGGAGAGGTGCTTCCTGTCCGAAGAGGAATCCGGGGAATGATTGGAGGAGTTTAGGTTTTTCGATCGGAGAATGCGGCGGCTAGGATGCGACGACGAGGCCATAGGGGCCACCGGACGAGGCGGGGACGCGGTGGCGGAGGATGGAGGCAAGCCGGCTGGAGTGGCGGTTCCCCCGGCGGCGGACCAACATGCCAGGAGTAGGTCTCAGGGAGGCGGCCCCGGCGGTCGGAGAGTCGCCCCTGCCGCTGGTCCCTCGGACGAGGCGATGGTGGTGGAGAAGGTGCTCCTGAGCGGGGACATGTGCACCGGGGAGTTCGTCCGGAACTCCCCCCACCGACGGGGGAAGTGCCTTCGGGCCGACTGGTGCATGCACGAGGGGGAGTGGCGGCGGGGGAAGGCTTCCGGGAAGGGGAAGTTCTCGTGGCCCTCCGCCGTGACCTTCAGGGGCGAGCTCCGTTCCGGCCGGATGGATGGCTTCGGGGCCTTCACCGAGTCGGAGGGCAACGCCTGCCCCGGCTCCTGTGTCGCCGGCCGAGAGCACGGGTACGGATGCAAATGGTACTCCAACGGAGACTATTACGAGGGCGGCTGGTGGCGCAATCTACAGGAGGGCCGCGGCCGGTACGTGTGGCGGAGCGGGAACCAGTACGTCGGCGAGTGGCGGAACGGCGTAATATCCGGCCATGGGGCTCTCATCTGGGCCAATGGCAACCGCTACGACGGCCACTGGGAGGATGGCGTGCCGAAGGGGAGCGGCGTGTTCACTTGGCCCGACGGCAGCTGCTATGTCGGTAGCTGGAGCAAAGGCGACCCGAAGAGCCTCGACGGAACCTTCTACCCTGCCGTTTCCACTGTCCGGAAGGAGATCGCCGGAAAAAGAAGCCTATTCTCGCCTTTTGATGAAACATTCGTGCTGCCGTCGGTGTCAGCGTCAAGAAAGAGATTGTCGGTGGATGGAGGAGCACTGGGGCGGAGGAGCTCCACTGCAGAGAAGAACTTCCCCAGGATCTGTGTCTGGGAATCAGAAGGCGAGGCCGGTGACATTACATGTGATATTATTGATACAATCGAGGCTGCAATGCTCTACAAGAACAGGGTTTCCATCCATCGGGATGATCGAACTCCCATTGGTACGGTGCACCAGCGGCCGAGTCCGCCTTGCTTGTCGACGAGAGAGGGAAAGAAGCTGGGGCAGACAATACTGAAGGGCCACAAGAACTACGATCTGATGTTAAACCTTCAATTAGGCATCAGGTAGATGGATATATGTCTTGCGGGTTGCGTGTTATCTGTTATAGCCTTCGAAATAATATTTGAATTTTTGGTTTCAGATACTCTGTTGGGAAGCCAGGTTCAATGAGAGAGCTCAGAGCAGCAGATTTTGATCCCAGGGAGAAGTTCTGGACGAGGTTTCCTCCTGAGGGGTCAAAGATTACTCCGCCACACCACTCCATTGAGTTCCGGTGGAAGGATTATTGCCCCATGGTTTTCAGGTGGTATTCCTATTAGCAGTTGGACCAATTCAGTTCATTTTGCTTTCCCTTCTTATATATAAAAGGATCCATAGAGCCAACCCTAAATAATTGAAATTTATGAATTATTGTTGTTGTCGTTTTGTCGATGACAATGATGACATGATTTAGATTTTAATTTTGGGTTTGTGTGAGTAATTTGCGGTGGTTTTGGCTTGCAGACACTTGAGGAAGTTGTTTAATGTGGATCTGGCAGATTACATGCTAGCTATATGTGGCAATGATGCTTTGAGAGAACTGTCTTCACCCGGGAAGAGTGGGAGTGCCTTCTACCTAACTCAAGATGATCAGTTTATAATTAAGACCGTAAAGAAATCCGAAGTGAAGGTTGGATTGATAGCCAAGTGTCATAATTTTCATTGAATATGCCAATGTTTGGTTTAAAGTTCTGCATGTTTCTCAGTTATTGAGTTTGTCAAATCATTCTAGAAGATGAATACAAGTTTACAAAATTTTTGAAGTATGATATGGATGCACTCTTGTATTCAGTCAGCTAGGATCAGGAAAATTGGATTTGTCCTTTGTTTGGCTATTGATATTGCTGTAATTAGTAGAAGGGCATAATTTATTTTGCTGATATCAGTGGGATATTATTGTATACTGTTGTATAACATGTAATGCAATGTAACTTTGATACCGGATCTGATTTGTCCGATGAGGATCAAATTTCCCAGTGCTTTTAATCCAATCGGTTATGTTTCTTGATGAACTTGGTGAGATATAATGCCCTTGATCCTGCATGCCCATTATCCAAATTTCAGATTTAACGAATAGTTACAAGTGTCTTAGTAAATATAAAAACTAAATAGTTCCCTAGTACTTTGAGAAAGCATTCCTCTTAGCGAATATTCATGATACATTAGTTTTGGGTAATGAAGACTAATTCGCTTTTACATTGGTTTTTAGGTACTTATTAGGATGTTACCCAATTACTACCGACATGTACGACGGTACAAGAACTCATTGGTCACGAAGTTTTATGGTGTGCATTGCGTGAAGCCAATTGGTGGGCCGAAGGTAAGCAAACATCCATATAAGTTCCTATACCATCTTTGGTTGTCCATAAGTTTCCTTTATCAGGCAATTGGGTGACCATAGTTAATATCACATTGGTTGACCGTAGTTTCCTTTATGTGGCTGGAGAACAGGTGCGTTTCATTGTAATGGGCAATTTATTTTGTTCCAAATATCACATTCATAGAAGATTCGACTTGAAAGGATCATCCCATGGCAGAACTACTGACAAGGTCGAGGAAGAGATTGATGAGATGACAACCCTCAAGGATCTTGACCTCAACTACGTATTTCGCTTGCAAAAATCTTGGTACCTAGAGCTTCTGGAGTAAGTTCAAGATCTAATCTTAACATGTCTGATGGATTTTTGTTTATGATTACCATTTATGATTTGATGATATATTTTTACCTTCAGGCAAATAAAGCGGGATTGTGAATTCTTGGAAGCAGTGGGGATTATGGATTATAGTCTCCTGTTGGGTCTTCACTTCCATTATGATGTTTCAGCATCTTGGACAGGCTTATCACCATGTTCAGCTTCTCCAAGTAAGTTGACAAATCTCAATATGTTTGGTACTTATATAAACTGTTTATGGAGCATTCACAGGTCAGTCTCAACTTAGTAATTGTGCTTGATCAGAATATCGAAGGGCTTGGTCTGACTTGCGGTTCTCAAAGTCAACCCGTCAAGATAGGGATCTGACAGTGGATGGCCGGTATGTTTCAAGAATCGCCCCCTCTTTCAGTTTAAAGAATTTCACTTAACTGAAATAAGAAAATTATTTTGAAGTCTCTCTCCTTTAGTATGATGAGCAGAAGCAACTATGTGATTTTCTTGTTCTTTATGATTTTAGTCTTCTTTCTCTTGGATATGCACCCTCGTCGGCAAAGATAATGGTGCCTTTAAATTACTAGTCCGGTCACTGATGATGTTGCATTTGAATTACTAGCTTCTCCAATGGACTACTGCTTCATTGATAGTTGTAAATGGTTCCTAGAGGACATTAGGTGATCTATGTTCCCCTTATAGCTTCTTCATAACCAACAGGTCGACATTTAACAGGAAAAAAATTATTTGTCGTTCGTATGTTTCTCCATTGCTATCTAATAGGATAAATGTTACATCATTTGTGCCCTTCCTGTAGTATGAAAATGCTACATGATTAGTTAATTTCTTTTGCCAGACCGTGCCCTCCATCAAATCAAGCTAATTCTCATGCCTCAGATGTTCTAATTTGAAGTGTTGGTATCTGATGTGTCAACATAACTTTCTGTTTAGGAAACCATTGATTCGACTAGGCTTAAACATGCCAGCGAGGGCAGAGCACACAGCAAGAAGCGAGTCTGATGCATTACTTGCTAGTGGAACCCAAAGCGACAAGATCCATGATGTGATTCTCTACTTTGGAATAATAGATATCCTCCAGGACTATGATGTCACTAAGAAGCTGGAGCATGCCTACAAATCCTTGAAGGTGGATTCCAATTCCATCTCAGCAGTTGATCCAAAGCTCTACTCGAGGAGGTTCCAAGATTTCATCAGGCGAATATTCATGGAAGATGACTAATTTAAAGAGAGAGAGAAAAAGGGAGATGCCATATGTTCATCTTCAGGCAACACATATGTTGCTTCCAAACTCCTAAACTTGGAAAATGCCATATGAAGGAAAGTCTGCCTCTCACCGGGAAGCAAATTAAAGGTTGTTACTAAAGGAGGCAGAGGAGGAACAAAATGTTATAAAGTTCTGTTCAGCTGTAAAAATGTGCAGCGATCAACAAGTCGAACCTAAGAGGTTCAAGTTGCGCCACTGCAAGAATTTAAATGTTAAAGCTCAGCAATGGACACTCAGGTCTTGGGAATCTGAATCCCAGAGCTTCACCGTCCATCAGATTCGAGAAGGTTGCTGGCTGTTGGCACTTGAATGCTGAAGCTCAGAGATTTACATATGCAGATTTCAGTAGCATGAATTCGGGAGCTTCAAGTGACCAAAGCTACAGGTGGTTGGTTGGCTGAATTTTGAATTCTCAGCCATGGGGTAAGTTTGGGACATGTTAATGAGGGTGAGCAGTGCTGGATTCCATTAGTTTTCTTCTCTTTCTTTCTTTTGTGTTCGAGACAGAGAAAACATCAGTTTTGCTTCCTGGATAAAAGAGAAGGTTGAGAAAGGCATCGAATAAGACAGGTACATATAGTATAGTATAGGATGATGATGACCATGGTTAAATCAAGCTCAAAAAAGTCTCCCTCATAATGCTGTGTTCTGTGGCTACTCTCCTCTTTATCTGCTTTCTTTGCTGCTAATGTCTGTTGTTTATCTTTTCTTTTTCCAGTACTGGATGTCTCCCTCCCAACCAAGCTTTGCTCCCTCGTCTCACAGCTTATGACAAGGAAGGGGGGGGGTGGGGGAAGAGCATTGGAAGTGGAAAAAAGAGGTGCGAGGGGAGAAATGGGCATCAAAAGCAGAGAAAAAGTGCAACGACGAAGATGCGGTAGCCGATCACCTCTCTCTACTTTCTCCTTCCTCATCTCTCTCTCTCTCTCTCTTTCACTTGCTGTCATTCAATATCTCCTATGAATTCTTTTTCTTTTCTTATCCTTTTGGTCCTTCAGCTTTCCCTGTGTTTGACCGGACTGAACTTTGGAGAGAAGAACAGAGCCAGCCGTAATATATCATCCTTGAATCTTTGGTGAATCAAAAGAGTCATTATTTAGCAGACTGTCTTCCTCCTCTCTCACCTACGCTTCTCTGTAGAGCCATTATCGAGGTCAAAGGCCGTGTCAGGTCTCAAGCTTTGCCGTACTTCCTTTTTCATGTCTCTTTTCCACTGTTAAACCCAGTACTGGGTTGGAAGCTAAAATAATGTTTGTTTATAGATTGCTTGTGAACACCACCTCTGTAAACTCTGTGACCTGATGGCACGTCTCCTCCATCTTACGCTGGTACAGTATCCACAGCCCGCTTCCGTTCCTGCTTCCAACCCTCCCTGCTATTTCTCGAGATTCTTCACATAAATAAGCCCAGGTAATAGTACTAAACAGGTATTAATTAATCCCATCCTCTCGACGAGGAAAGAGGACCGCGTTGTGATTGGCCGTGCATGCAATGCAAGACTAGCTTTGAACGACGGACAGCCGTTCGTTGCCCTTCCCCATGAATGATATTATCACTGTATAGTCATCCCGAAAAGCTCGGGGTGATATTGTGTGGCGTCGATCCGGTCGATCGACGCTCGCACAAAAGCTTAAGTCAGTCGCTTGATAAATCGATCGTAGTTAATTGACTCTATGGATATCTCATCCTCACATGTATAAAAGCTAACCCTCCTTAAACATGGGACACTCAACTCTCTCTAACTCTACAACATTGATTTGAATTTTAGAGGGGTTGAGTCGAAAAATCTCTCTCCTGATCTCGATTTTTATGCAGGAACCAATAACGAAACAACAACAACCTGTCGAGGGAGAACTATACTCGAGAGAGATGACGCTTGAACCTAACCTGACCTGACGTCGACATGACTTGAGCATCCGCATGGGTAACCTTACGCATCCGGGATTAGATCGAGTCGTACTGACATCTTATTTACGACATAAAAGTTCACTAACAAGGAAAAATGATGCTCTCCTCGTTCGTTCATTCAAGACAACTACTTTATCTTAAGCATCGATGTATGGCTCAATTACAGGTAATTGTTGCGATATTACTATTGACTTTTCGTGGTTCCATTTCTGGGATAGACTATTATAGCATTAATTAGTCAATGATTCCGGTACCATTTAAGAAAACATTCAAATATTGCTCGGGGAATACAAATATGGAAAAAGAGTAGGAAAAGCAGAAAGAGACATATATATATATATATAGAGAATTTGTTTTCGTTTCGTCGATGCATAAACCCCGAAGCTAACAACTGGATTTTGTTGGCTTATGGACTTGTGCGGCAAGATGTCAACCTTTTTGTGCGTTTGTTCGTTTGCTGCCGCCCAACTTCCGACAGCGCCCGGCCGTCCACCGACGTGGTCGGCCGACTCCTTCCTCGCCCCGCGGCGGTTGGTCGGACGCGTCATCTCGAGACGATGGCGTCGCCACCGGACCACGTGCACGATGCGACACTAGCAGTCCACCAATCCCACCAATAAAAGGCCTCGCTCGCATGGGGCCCACGGAACGGAGAAGCGTGCCTGACCAAAAATGTGAGAGTTCAAATGCTGAAGCCTGACGGAGCTCAGACAGGAACCCGACCTTCCAAATCCACTTGATGGGTGGCTGCCGCCGTTAAAGAGTCCTCCTCACGCGTTATTGCGAGTCGACCAATATGCTAAGAAGCCACCAATAAATATGCTTCATTTTAAATATAAAAAAAAGCATTCGATTGAAACCAATCTTTCATTCTACTATTTTTTTTTTCAAAAAATACTTTTTATTTAAATATTATATGACTGTGGAAAATAAAATCAAGAATCTATCCCAAATATTTGAGACATTATGATTTTTTTTTATTCTCGTATTTTCTGATAAATGAAGAAAAAATATTAAATGATTATTCTGACTATAAAATAATTAGTTTTGATATGTAGTTGTTTCTATGTGGAGAAATGATTCGTGCATCTAATCTGGAAAAGACGAGACAGTACGAGTTTCGATTATTGCATTCGTAGAACAAGTGGGAAGAAAATGATTATTTGCATTTGTAGCTTTTTCAAAAACGACGAATGGTTTCTTATTAGAGAGAGAGAGAGAGAGAGAGAGAGAGAGAGAGTAG